GATCGAACCTGGGTCTCCTTCATTGCAGGCAGATTCTTCACCCTCTGAGCCACCAGGGAAGCCCCCTTTCTAAAGGTAGCCAGATAATTTTTAGACCATGTTCTTTCTTTCTTTTTTGGTCCATTCCAACCCTGCAGGCACCGTTGGTTTGAATTTTATAAGCACACAAAGTGGAGGCATTCATGGCTTAGAGTGTCTGGATTTGTACACACAAAGGGAAAGATATTGGGAGGCTAGGTGCAGAGAAATGCAGAAGAAAGTGCCCCTAGTTCTAGCACTGTGAACCAGTTGCATAGCCCAAAGTTGAAAAATTTGGACAGGGTGGCATGGAGACCTCCTCTGTTTGAAGATATTCACCTCAGGTTGGGACTTGAGCCCACATGGCTGGGACTGAAACCCACCTGGCCGGGACTTGAATCCAGCCAAAATCCTGTTTGGGATGTGAACCATGGTCTTTTAACTGGAATCACTCACCTACTGCCTGGGCTTACTGAGCCTCAGCTTCTTTATGTCTCAGCACAGAAGGAATTCAGAAAGGCAAAGTGTAAGATAGGAAATGGAATTATTAATATAGGAAGCTTGTAAGAGATGCAAGCAGGCAAGTGATGGAGCTCTGCCATGAGGATTGAGTGGGCTACATTTTATAGTCAAAGGAAAGTAAAGGAGGGGGAAAGACTGACTTCTTTCAATAGATCTCAGGCCTATATCACTCAGTCCCACTTCGTTTGGGGCAGGAGAGTATCTGACCCTATGAGGTCAAGCTCGGATTATCATAGTACATCTTCAAATCAGTAGAAGGGTGGTGACATTCTTCTTTTACCTATGGGACTGGAGCATATCTCATGTTTTATTTACAGCTTCATATTTAAGCAAGCCTTCTTCCTTTCACAATTTTCTGATACGTTTCTTGAGCGATAAATAACTTCTATTGGTCTCCCAAAGGGTGCTAGGTTTCTCTATCTCTAGGCCCCTACTAGACTTCTATCGCTACCCGTCTGTCTCTCTGTCTGTGCTCAGGCCCTCATTCATGTCTGACTCTTTGCAACCCCATGAACTGTATCAATCCAGGCTCTCTGTCTGTGGGATTCTCCAGGCAGGAATACTGGAATGGGTAGCCATTTCCTCCTCCAGGGGATATTCCGTACCCAGGGATTGAACCTTCATCTCCCGCATTGCAGGTGGATGCTTTTTCACCGAGTCACCTGGGACAGCTACCTGTATCCTATGCTATTCGATCACTGTCATATGGAGGCAGGCTCCCCCAGCCAAGAGCAGTTGTTTCTCTTGGTGGGTTTCTTCTCCATGAGGGTCTCCAGGTTGGAATATTGTCTGGAATTTAGTGAGCAAGTTTCTTCCCAATAAGAGGAGGGGACAGTCTTGCATGATCAGAAACTGATGATCAAAGGTAAGCTTTCCTAGCAAGGACTTGAGGGAAGGGGCAGGTCACTTGGTTTGGGACCTTCCTTCCATCCCCATTATCATGGAGGATTGGAATAACAAGGGCCAAGGGAAATCAGCACAGGGGAGCTGCCCCACATATAAAATAACTGTCCTCCCTGCCACATCAAGGGTTACCTGAGGCTCCTCTGGAGAAATGAACAGGTATCCTTTGGGAGCCACAGAGTTTACGGGTCTCCATGAGGATTCGGTTCCCTCGGTCAGCTTGGTCTGACAGCCTTGAGTCCCCTATAGGATTGGAGGGACTGTGGTCATGTTTCTGGTGGCCCTCTAGTTTGTGTATCTATCAGGTAGGGTACTGGTGTTTTCCCAAACAAGGAGCATTCGTTCTTCCAGTCAGCCTCCTGGCTGTACGTAGATCCATCCTTTTTGCATGAGACACTAGTTCTGATCCAGGCTTCCTGGATTCTGTCCCCGCCATGGGCTTTGGTAAGGGAGAGTAACCCTGAGGTGGTGAGGGGTTTGAGCTGTCACTTTGTGTAATCATGCTTTTTCCTGTTGTCCCTGAATCCTTTTTGCCTGCTCAACCCTATCTCTATCATTGAATATGCCAAAGGCAAAATCCATGAGTTGATTTACGGGGGTCTTCCGTCTAAAGCTGCCTAGATGGTACATTAGAGGAAGATGTCCCGGCGGACTGTCTCCCCCGACCTCAGAACTGGGAAGGTCGCAGTTCAGGTTGTGGTTCTGGGGAAAGTAGACTAAGAAACTGATCATATAAAATATCAGTCTCCTGTTGGAGAAAGAGGCACTTTGAAAGGGGTGTGAGCACTTTCACAGGAGGGAGTTAAAAGGAGTTCTTTAGACATGGATTTTGGAATACGGTCATGAACATTTGGATCCATGGGACTTCCCTCCTCCCCGCCGATTTTTGGGTAAGGATGTCAGCAGACAGGGACCAATGGGAGTTATTTGTTCTGGTGCACTCCCAGTGTCAACAGTGGGTTCCCTGTGAGCACCTGAAATCTACCTGGTTGGTGAGCCTGAGGAGGCCAATTGGGTTAGTCTTGAAAAGGAACAGAAGCCAGCAGGAGGGAAAATGATCAGCGTCCAAGGGCCTACAGTCTTCAGAGAGGGAGGGACGAGACCTAGGCTGTGAGCCAACTAAAGGGTTTACCGTTATCACTGAAGTAAAAGAAAAAGACACAGAGCCGAAAGGTAGGACTGGAGCAGCACAAGGCAGTGATATCAATACTAGGCAAAAGGTCCCCTCAGGCTATTGTTGTTATGATGTTGAAGAGGGCTCATCTTTGGACTCCTGAAGTGGCTCCTTGCTAAGAATCCGCCTGCAATGCAGGAGATGTGGGTTCAATCACAGGATTGGGGAGATACACTAAAGAAGGAAATGGTAATCCACTCAAATATTGTTGTTGGCTGGGAAATCTGTGGACAGAGGATCCAGGGGGGCTTCAGTCCAAGGGGCCACAAAGGGTTGGGCATGACTTCGCGACTGACCACATAACTTTATAGAGTGAAAGAGGCAACACGTAACCAACAAGGAGGCCCAAGGATCAAGAGACAGTCTGAGAAGTCTGGAGAGCAGGATAGAAGCGAAATCCAGGATATGAGGGAAGGTGTAGAGCTATGAAGTGGGGGAGGTTGGAGTTCCTGGCTGTGGATCTTGGGGGAAGTGGACTGTCTCCTAGGCAGAGAGTCCTAAGCCTGCTGAGAAAGGTGCTCGCTTACTGCCTCTGCTCTGGGGTTGATAAAGTCTGCTTGAGATCCCCAGGAGGGAGGGGCTCGCCCACAGTGTAAGGTCGAGGTGCAGTGAGGCAGGCCAAAAATCTAGAGAAGGATGCAGAGTCCCCCAGTTTTGGCCCCTAATGCAGTTCTGGAGTCCCAGAATCAGACTGGGATTAAGAACGTGTAGAGAGGGAATTGGGCTCAAGGAGTTACAGAGGGGGAACTCACCCAATCGAGTCCCTGATAATTTGTATGGTCTTAATTTGAATGTCATGCAGTCTTCTCGGTTAAACTTCTCACCTCAAAACGGATAGAGCCATAGAGGAAGTGACAAAGACTAAGAGGAGAAAAGTCTTGGCCTCAGTGGATGTCTTCACCATTGGAAATTCTGTTTCTACCAGGCCCCAAGGACAGTGTCACTGCCACCCAAGTGTTCTTGGGGTATGCACAGCCTGGGGGTACTCCTTGCAGCTCTCAATTGAAGGGAGCCATGACTCAGCGAGCTGACCCAGATCTTGTCCTGTGGGTCATGGAAAGAGAACAAAGCAGAGAGTGACAGCAAACAAGTTTTCATGGAGAGACAGAGGGAAAGTCAGGGGTCTCCAGCCGGCAGTTTGGGCAAGCCCACTGGAGTTCACTGCGGCAGCAATCCTAGTCACGGTACCAAATATGTCACTGGTGAAAAGAGATTTCCTCAGTTCTTGCGCTTGCAAAGAAAGGGAAGGACTCTGGAGTAGTGTACATCAGGGGACTTGTCTTATGAAGGTCCCTTTATCAGTCTTGTGAACTTGAGAAAATTGCATGGTATCCATCTATAAATGGAGTCTGCTAAATCCTATCCTGCATGAATGCTGGAATGCATGTAATACATATAAAGCAGAGTCATGCTGATTAAGAAACACTGGTCTTTAATTTAATGGAACTTATGATTATTATGAACCTCCAAAGTACCACCTTCCTGAGGTTATTTTTATCCAGTAGATAGCAGAGACTATGCAGTGCATTGGGACAAAAGAAATAAATATTCTTAAATGAGCTAAATTCAGGCAAAGTATATTTTATTTTTACCAGAAAGAAAAGGTTAAAGGAAATAAGGCAAACTACAAATTAAAGGCTTTTTCCATTATTTTTCTTAATTGTGTTTTGCTTTCTCAAAATTTTCTGTGGTCGTATTTCACATTACATGAAAATCTCTCTTTCAGCGACATCTTACCTACTTCCAGATCATAAAGAAAATAGATGTTTCATGAATTTGTTTTATATCTACCAAAATTGTAACTTTAAAAACCTTAAAACAGCAATACATAAAACAGGAATATCATTACCAAATCAATATTCTGAAGAAAAAGAATCTGTTAGAAGTAAAAATGAAAAAAAATGAAATAAATAATATGTAGAATAATATGTAGGTTAAAACAAGAAGAAAATGGAGATCTAAACTTGGTTTTCTCGACCCCTACTAACCTGCAGTGTATAGAAGCTTGACTACTCTTTGAGAAAATTCTGTTCCAATGTCATCTTACCTTGCTTAGATGGTGAACAACATATTCAATACTTTCAATGTGTTTTACCAATACCGAATCTGTGGCTTTCAAAACTTTAAACAGCAAACTGTGATTTATATGATTAATACATTTGTATTCTGAAGCACAATAAACCTTATGAAAAGTAATTAACATTTGAAAACACTTAACTCCTCCCTCATCTCCTTACCAATCTAATTTAAATCAACTTTCACTAGCTATTTCTCCTATGGATAAAGGAAAAACCATATATATTTTGTTGAAATGAATTGTACCGAAACGCCCTTACTACATAAAAGTGTAAAGAACATACAAGTTTTGTTCCCTCCACCCCTACTACTCTTTACTAGTCAGGAGCCTGACAGCTCTGTTCCAACACAAAAGGGAAGAAAATGGCTGGGTCCCCCTCCCTAGACGTGGGAGGAGCTGTAGGACTTGGCCCTGGAAGGGGCAACTGGCTTCAGCCATCGTTGGATCCCTGGCCACGCCTCTCAGCCCTGCTCTCTCCGCCTGATCTCTCAAAGCCTCGTCATAGAAGTCTGGGAAGGAACTAGGGACTGTATGGAGGATCTTGGTCAGCACCTCCAACACCTTCATCTTATTGGTCCCAGCACAAGCTCTCGGGCCCCACAGGAACTCGTAGCTCGGAGAATCACTATTGGGCACCTGTCGGCACATCAGGTGCTTCTTCTGCACCAGATCTTTGGTGATGGGCCTTCTGGTCTCCCCAAAGATCCAGTGCCTGCACCCAGCATAGGCCTCCAGCACACTGAGTAATTCCCAGATCTCCTCCTCAGTTGCACGGTTACCCTTCACAAAGATAATGCCCAGGAGCACCATGAGGAGACCGGACTTGGGCAGCCCTCCTTCATCACTCGGACCTTCATCGCCCCTGAGGTTGAGCTTGCTGATGAGGGCGTAGATCTTCCTGCTACGGTCGACATCCATCAGCTCCAGGCCAAATACCAGCTCTACGCACTCAGAGGCTCTCCTGAGGATCTCGGGTAAGTGCTGCCTGTACTTCCTGCTGACGACCTTCAGCAGGGCGTTCTGCGTGATGGGCTGCTGCTTGGGGTACTTGTCCAGCAGGAACCCCACCAGCATGCTGGCCTTCGTAGTCACAGGATCTCTGCGAGTGCTCTGAGTGGCCGGGGCTGCCTGGGAGGCACCTACACTTTCCTCCTCTGGGCCCTGGGCACCTTCATCAGATCCTGTGCAGAAAGGCCCTGCATCAGGAGAGCTAGGGGCCACGGCTCCCTGAAGCTCCTGGTGATCTCCAGTAGCAGGGGAGCTGGAGGAAAAACCCTGAGGCACAGACAAGGGGGAGGAGGGGATGCCTCTTTGGGGGCTGCAACACTAGTCTGGGCCTCCTGGGAACAGTGAGCGTCCCCCTGGACCTGTGCCATTTCACACGGGCATGGTACTTGTTCTTGTGCCTCCGAGGCATGATGGATCACAGTCACGTGCAGGCAGGGTGGCAGGCAAGGAGGGCACCTAAAGGAGGCACAAGCACATGTTGTGAGCAGTTTCAGTGAGGAGAGCCCTCCCCGGCTTTAAGCAAAGCCCCCTCTGAGGGGTCCTTGAGGCCAGTCCTCTTGGACCGACAAGTCTCGTGTTCTCCTGGTGAGCCTGTCCCTTGAGAACGGTGAGTAGGTATTTAGAGTGATCGCTGGGGTGCAGCCAGACGGCCCTGCCTGGGCGTTAGAGGGAGGCCTGTTGGGGCTGGCAGGGGGGCAGGTCCTCTCAGTTCACATTCAGAGTCATGGTGAAAACTGGGGCAAGACTCCTCATGTCCACCCCCACCTACAAACCACCCCACCCTGTTCCCTTTCTCGCTCTGCAGTTGATGCTGCCACCTTCCCTGTCACCCCAGAGGAGGAGAGGAGGGAGTGCTCAGGCCCCCATTGAAGAGTGCCGGCACCCGCCCTTCTGCTGTCTCGAGGCTGACCCTTCACAAGCAAGCTCCAACCTCCCCTGACAGACCGACGCACCCATCCCCGTGTTTGGCTGGGAGGAAGTGCTGACCACAGGGGAGGGTCCTGAGTTTTCCGTGTGACGCGGAGGATGGTCATTACCCTGACTCCTCCCGAGCCCTGACATCCTCCCTCTGCTGACTGCTGCCAGTCCTTCAGAGTGAGATCTCTGCTTCCCTGAGTGTCCCATGACGGCGATCGCAGTCAGGGATCCGCTCAGCCTTTAGAACTGCTGAGGTGCTGACCGGCTGCTCTCCCTCCACGTCACGCTGGGTAAGGGGTTAGGCGTGGCCGCCAATCTGGGGTTTGGAGACCCTCAGTCCCCCCAGAGGTTCCTCCTTCACTCCACAGAATCCCGGACTTCCCTCTACTGAACAGAGCCAGGGTCCACCAACCCTGGACCCAGGTTATGCTCTAGAACCCATGTACGAAGCCAATGGACATTGCACCTAGAGCCAGGCCCGAGCCTCCAGGCGGAGAGCAGGTGCAGGGTTTCCGTGGAGCTGTGAAGTCCCCTCTTTTCGGATGGAAAGGGTGTTGGGAGTGCCAGGGTGTATCTTTGTAACTATGAAGTGCACTTGTAACTCATGTCACCTCCGACTTGGACACCTGACGAGACCTTGGACTCCTCCCTCTGGTCAAAACTATAGCAGCTCTCAAAGATAGCAGCCCTCTCAAAGATGGCATGGAGCCCCAGCCTGGTTATTGGGCTGTCACTTCCTATCATGCGCATCTGGGTTCCAGGAGGACAGCAGGGGCGGTACCTGGGTGGGCGGGCTTCCGGGGGAATTTCTGGCAAGATGGGGATGTGGTCCCTTCTTGGACTCACAGGGGGTCCTGCGACGTGCCTGCGAAGCTCAGTCAGCTGGCCTCACTCCTTGCCTCACACTTGTCTCAGTAAACCAAGCAGGAAGAATCTGGGAGCCCGAGCCTGACAGCCTTCCTGGAGCTGCTGAGATGGACAGTGGGGGCTTTCTGGGGCCCCTTCTTGTGTGCTGAGTGGTGCTCTCTGTCCTCTATCCCTGTCTTGCCCTGACTGTAATGCTGCGTTACGTCCCGTCTGCTGACCTGAGGACAGGGCCTCACCTGGAAGATGTCAAATCGCCAGAGTCCTGGTGAGAAGTGCACCGGCATCTCATCTGGACGCTTCTGCCTAAGGCTTCCTGGAAATGGCTGCTGCAGGTAAGATAAGCGAGAGGGAAGGGTGGGAGAATGCCTTCTGTGGCGTGGAACTCCTCACATCTCACTCAGGATCTTCATATTGACTGCAGGCAGAGCCTGGAAATCCTTCCCCTTCTGGCATAAATCCACCCCTGTCCCCAACCATGGCCCACACAATCCCAGCAGAGAAAGGGAAGGGGCTCCTTAGCCTGGCAGTTCTCACTGTGGGCTCTTCGTCGACTGCAGGGACATTGCTCGAAAGTTCTGAGATGAATTTCTGTCCTTTTGTAAACTTACTGTGATACAAGCTTTTCTCTTTTAGTCCATGTGTGACAGTCTCTTAAGCTGGTCATTTAAAAGTGCCAGTTGTCAACCACTAACAAAGTTTGTGCTGGTTATTTCATGACCTCTGGGCCATACTGCCATGTCCACCCCAAACGTTGGTGCCCTATGATCCTGGCATGGGGCTCTGAGATGCTGCCTCAGGTTCCTTCAGTGAAGCAGTAGAGATTCATGGTCCCACGGCCCGGTGGAAGAATCATCTGCTCCAGTTCAAAGCCTTTTCCAGCTGATCCTGTTTTCTGTTTCCTTTGTGGCCTGCACACCTGTGTCAGCCTCAACGTACTCCCTGACCTGGGCACTCATAGGGTCCAGTTCAATGGAGACTCATTGTCCCTCAGGGATTATTTAGTTTTGTGTTCTTGCTTTTGTTATTAGTAGTCTTTATTCCTTGTATAAGTTTTCCATGGTTTGTTCTGGGTACAGGAAACAACTGCCCACGTTTGACTGAGGTCTCAGCTACTCTGAATGTGGAACTAAATCTGTAAAGGATTTAAGAAAAATCGGCAGTGTTACAATATGTCCTCATGAATACACATAGCATACTATTCTGTTTGAGACTTCTTTTTCGTAAGGCGCTCAGGAAATTCTTCTTGTTGCCTTTGTGTAGACTGCATAGCTTTTTCTAAGGTTTCTTTGTAGCTACATTATTTATATTGCTGCTTTTGTTTATGATGTGTTTTGTGTTACATGGTCTGAGTATTGTAGATTGTTCTAGACCAGTCTCTTGATTTTGCTGTGTTGATTTTTTTTTTATGCTAGATTTATGAAGTTCGTTATATGTGTCAATATCTTCTGTGCCTGTTTCCTAAGAATTTTAATTTGAGGATCAAATTCTTACCGTGATATTTTGCTTTTCATTATTGCTGACTTTTATTCAGTTTGCATTGGTGCCTGTAACTCTGTACTGGCTATGTGTTCTTATCCATATTTTTTTCTAGTTTTTACATTAGTCAACTTTTAAAAAAACTGTTTTAATCGACAGATAGTTGCTTTATAATGTTGTGTTGTTTCTGCTATACACCAGGATGAATCAGCTCGAAGTATACATATTCCTCCTGGCTGATGAGACTTCCTCCCACCCCCTCATCTCACCCCTCTGGGCTGTCACACAGCACCAGGCTGAGCTCCCTGTATTATATAGCAATTTCCCGCCAGCTATCTTTTGTACACATGGTACTCTATATTTGTCAGTGCCAATCTCTCAATCGACCTACCCACTCCTTCCCTTGTTGTGTCCACATGTCCATTCTCTACATCTGTGTCACTATTCTTGCCTTTCAAATAGGTTCTTAAGAACCATTTTCTACTTTCCATGTATATGTGTTAATGTATATTATTTTTTGTGTTTCTAACTTACTTCGCTCTGTATAACAGGCTCTAGGTGCATCCACCTCACTACAAGTGACTTAAATGCGTTCCTTTTTATGGCTAATATTTCATTGTATGTGGCTACCACAACTTCTTTATCCAGTCATCTGTCAGTTGAAGTCTGCTTTGCTTCCATGTCCTGTCTATTGTAAGTAGTGCTGCAATGAACATTGGATACAGCTGTCTTTTCAGTTATTCTTTTCTCAGTGTATGTGCCCAGTATTTCTATTGCTGGGTCATGTGGTAGTTTTAATCCTAGTTTTTAAAGGAATCTCCCTAGTGTTCTCCATAGTGGCTATATCAATGTCCATTCCCACCTTTTCTCTAAACGCTCCCCAGCATTTACTGCTTGTACAATTTTTGATGATGGCCATTCTGACCTGTATGAGGTGACACCTCATTGTAATTTTTCCCATGATGAGCGATGTAGCTCCTCTTTTCATGTGTTTATGTGTTTGTTGCCCCTCTGTATTTCTCTTTTAAAAGAACAGATTCAGGATTAGAGAAAATTCAGCAGATAGTATAGAGAGTTCCCATACAGCCACTCTCTTCCTCCACTTGGTATCTTCTATTATGAACATCTTGTATTGGTTCAATGGATACCAGTTCATTTTTTACAACTGATCAACAAATGTCAATATGTTATTATTAACTATTGTCCATTGTTTACAGTGAGTTTTCCTTTTTGTGTTTTACAGTTCTTTCAGTTCAGTTCAGTTGCTCAGTCGTGTCCGACTGTTTGCGACCCCATGAATCGCAGCACACCAGGCCTCCCTGTCCATCACAAACTCCCGGAGTTTATTCAAACTCACGCCCATCAAGTCGGTGATGCCATCCAGCCATCTCATCCTCTGTCATCCCCTTGTCCTCCTGCCCCCAATCCTTCCCAGAATCAGGGTCTTTTCCAAAGAGTCAACTCTTCGCACGAGGTGCCCAAAGTATTGGAGTTTCAGCTTCATCATCAGTCCTTTTAGTGGACACCCAGGACTTATCTCCTTCAGGATGGACTGGTTGGATCTCCTTGCAGTCCAAGGGACTCTCAAGAGTCTTCTCCAACACCATAGTTCAAAACCATCAATTTTTCAGCGCTCAGCTTTCTTCACAGTGCAACTCTCACATCCATACATGACCACTGGAAAAACCATAGCCTTGACCAGACGGACCTTTGTTGGCAAAGTAATGTCTCTGCTTTTTAATATGCTGTCTAGGTTGGTCATAACTTTCCTTCCAAGGAGTAAGCGTCTTCTAATTTCATGGCTGCAGTCACCATCTGCAGTGATTTTGGAGCCCACAACAATAAAGTCTGACACTGTTTCCACTGTCTCCCCATCTATTTCCCATGAGGTGACGGGAAGTGACCAGATCCCAGATCCCAGATCCTAAGATCATGACCAGATGCCATGATGTTAGTTTTCTGAATGTTAAGCTTTAAGCCAACTTTTCCACTCTCCTCTTTCACTTTCATCAAGAAGCTTTTTAGTTCCTCTTCACTTTCTGCCATAAGGGTGGTGTCATCTGCATATCTAAGGTTATTGATATTTCTCCTGGCAATCTTGATTCCAGCATGTGCTTCATCCAGCCCAGCATTTCTCATGATGTACTCTGCATATAAATTAAATAAGCAAGGTGACAATATACAGCCTTGACATACTCCTTTTCCTATTTGGAACCAGTCTGTTGTTCCATGTTCAGTTCTAACAGTTGCTTCCTGACCTGCATACAGGTTTCTCAAGAGGCAGGTCAGGTGGGCTGGTATTCCCATTTCGTTCAGAATTTTCCACAGTTTATTGTGATCCACACAGTCGAAGGCTTTGGCGTATGCAATAAAGCAGAAATAGATGTTTTTCTGGAACTCTCTTCTTTTTTAGTGTTTGACAAATGCATGATCCTATCAACTCAGCCAACACTGTGTCCTACAGAGAAGTTTGAAAGCCCCAAATATCTCCCATGCTCCATCTGTTCATCCCTCACAACCTCACTTGGAACCCCAGTCAACTACTGAATGTTTTACTCTTTCTAAAGATTTGCATCTTCCAGAATGTAACATTCATGGAATCCTACAGTATGTAGGCTTTTGATACTGGCTCCTTCTGCAAATCCATATACATTTGATTTTCTCTATATCTTTTTATGTTTTGAAATGTTTTCTTCCAGGACTGAATAGCATTCCATGTAGATTACCATAGTTTGTTTACACACTCATGTACTGAAGGTCATCTTTGGTGATTTCGGTTCTTGGAATCTATGACTTACTCT